ACCTGACGCATAGCCTTGTGAAGCAGCCAGGGTACTCAGACATTGGGTGCTTAGCCGAATGCACAGACAGAGTCAGTCTGTCTCTGGGTCTTATTCCTCAAGAAGCATAATCACCAGGCATGCCAGGTGACTTAGGGTGGTGCAGTGCGGCCATGGACCATTTCTGATCCCGACGAACAGATGCGTGACGTGTTCGAGCGTTGGAAATCGGCATGAGTGTGACGAGAACAATTTTTACATGCAACGCGCTTCAGCACTCACCGCTGTGTGGCCTACCACTTCGCGGTGAGCCATTGCTTGCTCCTAGACTATTGCATCACTTCACAATAAACAGTTAACTTACAGTTGACCGGGGCAGCTCTAGCAGGGCAGCAAATTTGTCGAACTGACTTGGTTGAGCAATGGTGGCAATCCTATGACGGTGCGCCACGTTGAAAGTCACTGAAGCTCTTCAGTAACGGCCATTCTACTGACTAATGTTTGTCTATGGAGATTGCATGGCTGTGTGCTCGATTTTATAAACCTGTCAGCAACAGGTGTGGATGAAATAGCCAAATCCACTAATTTGAAGGGGTGTCCACATACTTTTGGTGATGTAGTGTATTTCCCCACAGGATTTCTCATGGTGACGAATGGACCAAAAGACAGGGGTCATTCGGATAGGGACACCCGAGTGCTGTTGGTTCATGTCCTCAGGCTCAGAGGCCGCAGTTCATGAAAGGGCCCAATTGGCAGAAGGATTTGCATCTCCTCCTGATACATTTGAGTTTTATATTGTGAGATTTCTTTTTTCAGTTAATTGGTTAATTTCCTTTGTTTATACTCAGTTGAGTTTTAGTAGTGTTGTTTATGCTTTTAGACTTTGATTTGATTATGGTTTAAAAATCAGTGTGATAAGGGTTTTTATACAACAAGACGAATCAAAATACCTGGTCCCCACACTGGCAATATAACAATCACATACCTAGGTAACCCTAACCTCTATACAGCTAGTAACCCTAACACTAAGTCTAACCCTCTTCATACCTAGGTCACCTAACCATCAGGAACATGTTCCCAAACAAAGGAAGGCACGGACTGTGTTCAGCAAGCTGCAGTTCTGGCGCCTCTGTGTTTTAGGAGCGTCAGTGTTCATGAAACTTTCTCCGCGATCCGTTTTGTAATCCACAACAAGAAAAAAAATCTGACAGGTCAGGAACATGATCAAAGCGGATCAGAAAAACCAAACCATGGAAGGCTGCAGTTTTCTCGCACTTTGAAACTGGCGCCTCTGTCTTCGTTACACCAATACCCTTCTCTGTTTGTCACTTCCTCCATTCAAACATTTTTCCAGGCGGCCTTCTTAAAGCAGCTCTATCGTCCCTACTGAATGGAATTATTTTAACAATAAGCAAAGAGAAACGACAGTCCATCATTACTTTAAGACATGAAGGTCAGTCAATCCGGAAAATTTCAAGAACTTTGAAAGTTTCTTCAAGCGCAGTCGTGAAAACCATCAAGCGCAATGATGAAACTGGCTCTCATGAGGACCACCACAGGAAAGGAAGACCCAGAGTTACCAGCCTCAGATTGCAGCCCAAATGCTTCACAGAGTTCAAGTAACAGACACATCTCAACATCAACTGTTCAGAGGAGACTGTGTGAATCAGGCCTTCATGGTCGAATTGCTACAAAGAAACCACTACTAAAGGACACCAATAAGAAGGAGGATATCACTTAAAAGTATTAATTAAAACGCTTGTTTCCAAAGTGGTCCTCGATGTTAAACACAATAACACAATGATTAAAAGGAAAGACAAAATTACAAAACCATAAATACATTCATTTATATTGACATCCTAGAAAGTGGCACTATTCACTGCACTTTTCCCTAACCTTAAAAAAATCAACCATATTAATTTCACATTTCGACCATAAAAAAAACATCTATTCATTGCACATCCTACCTATCATTCAAATAAATACACCTTACCAGCAGTAGGGGGCGCAAGGGGCAGTGGAGAGGTTTCTCTTACTTACACAACCTTCTCCAAATGATTTTTAAAGCTATTTCTACTTTTTCTCCACAGATTTTCTATGGGATTAAGGTCTGGAGACTGGCTAGGCCACTCCAGGACCTTAATGTGCGTCTTCTTGAGCCACTCCTTTGTTGCCTGGCCGTGTGTTTTTGGGTCATTGTCATGCTGGAATAACCCATCCACAACCCATTTTCAATGCCCTGGCTGAGGGAAGGAGGTTCTCACCCAAGATTGACGGTACATGGCCCCGTCCATCGTCCCTTTGATGCAGGTGAAGTTGTCCTGTCCCCTTAGCAGAAAAACACCCCCAAAGCATAATGTTTCCACCTCCATGTTTGACGGTGGGGATTGTGTTCTTGGGGTCATAGGCAGCATTCCTCCTCCAAACACGGCGAGTTGAGTTGATGCCAAAGAGCTCGATTTTGGTCTCATCTGACTACAGCACTTTCACCCAGTTCTCCTCTGAATCATTCAAGTGTTCATTGGCAAACTTCAGACAGGGCATGTATATGTGCTTTCTTGAGCAGGGGGACCTTGCGGGCGCTGCCGGATTTCAGTCTTTCACGGCGTAGTGTGCTACCAATTGTTTTCTTGGTGACTATGGTCCCAGCTGCCTTGAGATCATTGACAAGATCCTCCCGTGTAGTTTCTGGGCTGATTCCTCACCGTTTCTCATGATCATTGCAACTCCACGAGGTGAGAGTTGCATGGAGCCCCAGGCCGAGGGAGATTGACAGTTCTTTTGTGTTTCTTCCATTTGCGAATAATCACACCAACTGTTGTCACCTTCTCACCAAGCTGCTTGGCGATGGTCTTGTAGCCCATTCCAGCCTTGTGTAGGTCTACAACTTGTCCCTGACATCCTTGGAGAGCTCTTTGGTCTTGGCCATGGTGGAGAGTTTGGAATCTGATTGATTGATTGCTTCTGTGGACAGGTGTCTTTTATCCAGGTAACAAACTGAGATTAGGAGCACTCCCTTTAAGAGTGTGCTCCTAATCTCAGCTCGTTACCTGTATAAAAGACACCTGGGAGCCAGAAATCTTTCTGATTGAGAGGGGGTCAAATACTTATTTCCCTCATTAAAATGCAAATCAATTTATAACATTTTTGACATGCGTTTTTCTGGATTTTGTTGTTGTTATTCTGTCTCTCACTGTTCAAATAAACCTACAATTAAAATTATAGACGGATCATTTCTTTGTCAGTGGGCAAACGTACAAAATCAGCAGGGGATCAAATACTTTTTTCAGGTTAGTTATACATACATATATACACACACATACATACAACAGGACAATGACCCAAAGCACAGCTCCAAACTATGCAATAACTATTTAGGGAAGAAGCAGTCAGCTGGTATTCTGTCTATAATGGAGTGGCCAGCACAGTCACCGGATCTCAACCCTATTGAGCTGTTGTGGGAGCAGCTTGACCGTATGGTACGTAAGAAGTGCCCATCAAGCCAATCCAAATTGTGGGAGATGCGTCAGGAAGCATGGGGTGAAATCTCTTCAGATTACCTCAACAAATTGACAACTGGAATGCCAAAGGTCTGCAAGGCTGTAATTGCTTCAAATGGAGGATTCTTTGACGAAAGCAAAGTTTGAAGGACACAATTATTATTTCAATTAAAAATCATTATTTCTAACCTTGTCAATGACTACATTTCCTATTCATTTAGCTATATTTCCTATTCAAACTCATTTCATGTATGTTTTTCATGGAAAACAAGGACATTTCTAAGTGACCCCAAACTTTTGAACGGTAGTGTACATCATCACAAATAAGACAACTACTTTTATTCGCTCTCCTACTAGAAAACCACAGTATTATTACTCATAAGGAATTAGTAAAGTTTTAAGCTATAATTTGGGGAGAGAAATATGTTGGTGCCTCTAGTGGAAGAAGTTTAGAAGTTCTGAAAAGTTAGATAAATTAGGTGATGTGGTTACTAAAACAGCTGTACCTTTTGATTGGTAGAAGATACTTATGTTCTGATTTCAGATTAGAACAGCAGAGAAGTAGACCAAGATGTCATACCCTCTAAGTTTCGTCTAAAATGCTGGGTAAGTGGTCGAAATTTCAGTTGTTTATAAAATGTTACCAGAAATGATGATGATGATGCGGTTACTTAAACAGCTGTAACGTTTGATCCGTACAAGATAACTATGTTCTGATTTCAGATGTGAATAGCAGAGAAGTACAGGAAGATTTTATACACTCACTTTTTGTCTGAGTTGTCAAAGTAGCTGATTTGTGTCAAAAGAATACAATGCTAGGAGTGATAATGTCACAATGGGACCTTTAGAATGCTGAGGACGGAGGACAAAAAGTTGAATAGTTTCAAAAGTAGAAAAGATTAAGAGTTGTATGAAAGCACTCACTTCCAGACCAGTCCACACGTTTTAAAGTTTGAACGGCGTTTCTAGCTTAAACGGCGTAGAGGAGTAGCGTAGTATTGAAAAATAACGAAATAAGAAAATAACTCTTACAATATCTAAAGTGTGGCTGCTGTCACAAGCCACATTAATTATACTGTATGTTAGAATGTAGTTAATGCGTTGTGTTTCTATACAGGCATTATCAGCACCACCTTGACAGATGGTAAACAGTGCAGGGGTCCTGTTAGTACAGTGGATATTACATCCTGGAGCGAATTCCATTAACACAACTGTTTATAACTGAATTAAATCAGACGTTCACGCTGCGTTTTGGTTTTTTAAACACGTACAACAGCTCATTTATGGCATTTATCACCCCTTATACAGTACGTGTGTTCATCTCTGTGTGTGTGAAGCTGTGTGTGTGTGTGTGTACGTGGCTCTCGTGTGTGTGTGTGTGTGTGTGTGTGTTGTGTGTGTGTGTGTTGTGTGTTGTGTGTGTGTGTGTGTGTGTACGTGGCTCTGTGTGTGGTGGTTGTGTGTGTGTGTGGTGTTTGTGTGCTTTGTGTGTGTGTGTTTGTGTTGGCGCTCCATAGTACCCTCTGCTACACGTTCTTCTTCCTCTTGATGGCCTGCCGTAGCGGGTCTCTCAGGTTGAGCTGGGCGAAGTCCTGCAGGGCTGAGTAGATGGTGGTGGCGGATAGCGTGGTTAAACACCGACTCCATACGACCCATCAGAACCTGCAAACCCTTTATCATGGCCATCACCTGGAGGGGAAGGAACACACCTCAGTTAGACACCTCAGAGACAGGTTAGTTAGACACCTCAGAGACAGGTTAGTTAGTTAGCACACTCAGAGACAGGTTAGTTAGACACCTCAGAGACAGGTTAGTTAGACACCTCAGAGACAGGTTAGTTAGACACACCTCAGAGACAGGTTAGTTAGTTAGACACCTCAGAGACAGGTTAGTTAGACACCTCAGAGACAGGTTAGTTAGTAGACACCTCAGAGACAGGTTAGTTAGTTAGACACCTCAGAGACAGGTTGGTTAGACACCTCAGAGACAGGTTAGTTAGACACCTCAGAGACAGGTTAGTTAGTTAGACACCTCAGAGACAGGTTAGTTAGTTAGACACCTCAGAGACAGGTTAGTTAGACACCTCAGAGACAGGTTAGTTAGTTAGACACCTCAGAGACAGGTTAGTTAGTTAGACACCTCAGAGACAGGTTAGTTAGTTAGACACCTCAGAGACAGGTTTAGTTAGTTAGACACCTCAGAGACAGGTTAGTTAGTTAGTTAGACACCTCAGAGACAGGTTAGTTAGTTAGTTAAACACCTCAGAGACAGGTTAGTTAGTTAGTTAGACACCTCAGAGACAGGTTAGTTAGTTAGACACCTCAGAGACAGGTTAGTTAGTTAGACACCTCAGAGACAGGTTAGTTAGTTAGACACCTCAGAGACAGGTTAGTTAGTAGACACCTCAGAGACAGGTTAGTTAGACACCTCAGAGACAGGTTAGTTAGACACCTCAGAGACAGGTTAGTTAGACACCTCAGAGACAGGTTAGTTAGACACCTCAGAGACAGGTTAGTTAGTTAGACACCTCAGAGACAGGTTAGTTAGTTAGACACCTCAGAGACAGGTTAGTTAGTAGACACTCAGAGACAGGTTAGTTAGACACATCAAGACGGTAGTTAGACACCTCAGAGACAGGTTAGTTAGACACCTCAGAGACAGGTTATAGCACCTCAGGAGTTAGTTAGACACCTCAGAGACAGGTTAGTTAGACACCTCAGAGACAGGTTAGTTAGTAGACACCTCAGAGACAGGTTAGTTAGTTAGACACCTCAGAGACAGGTTAGTTAGTTAGACACCTCAGAGACAGGTTAGTTAGTTAGACACCTCAGAGACAGGTTAGTTAGACACCTCAGAGACAGGTTAGTTAGTTAGACACCTCAGAGACAGGTTAGTTAGTTAGACACCTCAGAGACAGGTTAGTTAGTTAGACACCTCAGAGACAGGTTAGTTAGACACCTCAGAGACAGGTTAGTTAGTTAGACACCTCAGAGACAGGTTAGTTAGTTAGACACCTCAGAGACAGGTTAGTTAGTTAGACACCTCAGAGACAGGTTAGTTAGTTAGACACCTCAGAGACAGGTTAGTTAGAACACCTCAGAGACAGGTTAGTTAGACACCTCAGAGACAGGTTAGTTTAGACACCTCAGAGACAGTTGTTAGTTAGTTAGACACCCTCAGAGACAGGTTAGTTAGTTAGACACCTCAGAGACAGGGTTAGTTAGACACCTCAGAGACAGGTTAGTTAGTTAGACACCTCAGAGACAGGTTAGTTAGTTAGACACCTCAGAGACAGGTTAGTTAGTTAGACACCTCAGAGACAGGTTAGTTAGACACATCAGAGACAGGTTAGTTAGACACATCAGAGACAGGTTATTGTTAGACACTCAGAACAGGTTAGTTAGACACACCTCAGAGACAGGTTAGTTAGACACATCAGAGACAGGTTAGTTAGACACACTCAGAGACAGGTTAGTTTAGACACCTCAGAGACAGGTAGTTGACAATCGAAGTTAGTTAGACACATCAGAGACAGGTTAGTTAGACAACCTCAGAGACAGGTTAGTTAGGACACCTCAGAGACAGGTTAGTATTAGACACCTCAGAGACAGGTTAGTTAGACACCTCAGAGACAGGTTAGTTAGACACCTCAAGAGACAGGTTAGTTAGTTAGACACCTCAGAGACAGGTTAGTTAGTTAGACACCTCAGAGACAGGTTAGTTAGTTAGACACCTCAGAGACAGGTTAGTTAGTTTAGACACCTCAGAGACAGGTTAGTTAGTAGACACCTCAGAGACAGGTTAGTTAGTTAGACACCTCAGACAGGTTAGTTAGTTAGACACCTCAGAGACAGGTTAGTTAGTTAGACACCTCAGAGAGAGGTGTAGTTAGACACCTCAGAGACAGGTAGTTAGTTAGACACCCTCAGAGACAGGTAGTTAGTTAGACACCTCAGAGACAGGTTATTAGTTAGACACCTCAAGACAGGTTAGTTAGTTAGACACCTCAGAGACAGGTTAGTTAGTTAGACACCTCAGAGACAGGTTAGTTAGTTAGACACCTCAGAGACAGGTTAGTTAGTTAGTTAGACACCTCAGAGACAGGTTAGTTAGTTAGACACCTCAGAGACAGGTTAGTTAGACACCTCAGAGACAGGTTAGTTAGTTAGACACCTCAGAGACAGGTTAGTTAGTTAGACACCTCAGAGACAGGTTAGTTAGTTAGACACCTCAGAGACAGGTTAGTTAGACACCTCAGAGACAGGTTAGTTAGACACCTCAGAGACAGGTTAGTTAGACCTCAGACAGTTAGTTAGACCTCAGAGACAGGTTAGTTAGACACACTCAGAGACAGGTTAGTTAGACACCTCAGAGACAGGTTAGTTAGACACCTCAGAGACAGGTTAGTTAGACACACCTCAGAGACAGGTTAGTTAGACACATCAGAGACAGGTTAGTTAGACACATCAGAGACAGGTTAGTTAGACACCTCAGAGACAGGTTAGTTAGTTAGACACCTCAGAGACAGGTTAGTTAGACACCTCAGAGACAGGTTAGTTAGACACCTCAGAGACAGGTTAGTTAGACACCTCAGAGACAGGTTAGTTAGACACCTCAGAGACAGGTTAGTTAGTTAGACACCTCAGAGACAGGTTAGTTAGTTAGACACCTCAGAGACAGGTTAGTTAGACACACCTCAGAGACAGGTTAGTTAGACACACCTCAGAGACAGGTTAGTTAGTACACACCTCAGAGACAGGTTAGTTAGTTAGACACCTCAAGACAGGTTTTGTTAGACCACCTCAGAGACAGGTTTAGTAACCTCAGAGACAGGTTTTTAGACACCTCAGAGACAGGTTAGTTAGTTAGACACCTCAGAGACAGGTTAGTTAGTACACACTCAGAGACAGGTTAGTTAGACACACTCGAGACAGTAGTTAGTTAGACACATCAGAGACAGGTTAGTTAGACACATCAGAGACAGGTTAGTTAGACACCTCAGAGACAGGTTAGTTAGACACCTCAGAGACAGGTTAGTTAGACACCTCAAGAGACAGGTTAGTTTAGACACCTCAGAGACAGGTTAGTTAGAACACCTCAGAGACAGGTGTTAGTTAGACACACTCAGAGACAGGTTGTTAGACACCTCAGAGACAGGTTAGTTAGACACCTCAGAGACAGGTTAGTTAGACACCTCAGAGACAGGTTAGTTAGTTAGACACCTCAGAGACAGGTTAGTTAGTTAGACACCTCAGAGACAGGTTAGTTAGTTAGACACCTCAGAGACAGGTTAGTGTAGTTAGAACACCTCAGAGACAGGTTAGTTAGTTAGACACCTCAGAGACAGGTTTAGTTAGACACCTCAGAGACAGGTTAGTTAGTTTAGACACCTCAGAGACAGGTTAGTTAGTTAGACACCTCAGAGACAGGTTAGTTAGTTAGACACCTCAGAGACAGTTGTTAGTTAGACAACCTCAGAGACAGTTAGTTAAGACACTCAGAGACAGTTAGTGACACCTCAGAGACAGGTATTAGACACAGCAGGTTAGTAGACACTCGAGACAGTGTTAGACCTCAGAGCAGGTAGTTAGCTAGCCCCTCAGACCCAGGTTGTTAGACCACTCAGAGACAGGTGTTAGACACCTCTAGAGACGGTATAGACACTCAGAGACGGTAGTAGAACTCAGAGACAGGTTAGTTAGACACCTCGGCAGGTTAGTTACACCTCAGGACAGGTTGTTAGACACTCAGAGACAGGTTAGTTAGACCTCAGGACAGGTTAGTTAGACAGCCTCAGAGAAGGTTAGTTAGTTAGACCCTCAGCGACAGGTTGTTGTTGAACCTCAGAGACGGTTAGTTAGTTAGACACCTCGAGACAGGTTAGTCTAGAACCTCAGGACAGGTAGTTTAGTCGACACCTCAGAGACATAGTTTAGTTATGACACTCAGGACAGGTTTAGTTAGACCTCAGAGAAGGTTAGTTGACACTCAGAGACAGGTTAGTTAGACACATCGAGACAGTTAGTTGACCATCGAGACAGGTTGTTAGTACACATCAGGACCTGTGTGTTTAGACACATAAGACAGGTTATTAGAATTCCTCAGAGACGGTTAGTTAGACACCTCAGAGACAGGTTAGTAGACACCTCAGAGACCAGGTTAGTAGACACCTCAGAGACAGGTAGTTAGACACCCAAGAGCAGGTTAGTAGTTAGACACCTCAGAGACAGTTAGCCTTAGTTAGACACCTTCAGAGACGGTATTAGTTATAACACCTCAGTGACAGGTTAGTAGTTAGACACCTCAGAACAGGTTAGTTAGACACCTCAGACAGGTTAGTTAGTTGACACCTCAAGACAGGTTATTAGTAGACAACCTCAGAGACAGGTTATTAGTTAGACACCTCAGAGCAGGTCGTAGTTAGACCCTCAGAGACAGGTAGTTAGACACCCTCAAGACAGGTTAGTGACACCTCAGAGACAGTGTTAGTTAGAACACCTCAGAGACGGTTAGTTGACCCTCAGAACAGGTAGTTAGTTAACACCTCAAGACAGGTTAGTTAGTTAGACACCCAGAGAGGTTAGTTCTGAGTTAGACACCTCAGAGACGTAGTAGTTAGACACCTCAGAGACAGGTTAGTTTGACACCTCAGAGACAGGTTAGTTTAGTAGACACCTCAAGACAGGTAGTTGTTAGACACCTCAGAGACAGGTTAGTAGTTGACACTCAGGACAGGTTGTTAGACACTCAGACAGGTTAGTTAGACACATCAGAGACAGTTAGTTAGACACATCAGAGACAGGTAGTTAGACACATCAGAGACAGGTAGTTAGACCTCAAGAGACAGGGTTGTTGTAGACACCTCAGAGACAGTTAGTTTAGACACATCAGAGACAGGTAGTTAGACATCAGAGACAGGTTAGTTAGACACATCAGAGACAGGTTAGTTAGACACCTCAGAGACAGGTTAGTTAGACACCTCAGAGACAGGTTAGTTAGACACCTCAGAGACAGGTTAGTTAGACACCTCAGAGACAGTTAGTTAGACACCTCAGAGACAGGTTAGTTAGACACCTCAAGAGACAGGTTAGTTAGTTAGACACCTCAGAGACAGGTTAGTTAGTTAACACCTCAGAGACAGGTTAGTTAGTTAGACCACCTCAGAGACAGGTTAGTAGTTAGACACCTCAGAGACAGGTTAGTTAGTAGACACCTCAGAGACAGGTTAGTTAGTTAGACACCTCAGAGACAGGTTAGTTAGACACCTCAGAGACAGGTTAGTTAGACACCTCAGAGACAGGTTAGTTAGTTAGACACCTCAGAGACAGGTTAGTGTTAGACACACTCAGAGACAGTTGTTAGTTAGACACCTCAGAGACAGGTTAGTTAGACACCTCAGAGACAGGTTAGTTAGTTAGACACCTCAGAGACAGGTTAGTTAGACACACCTCAGAGACAGGTTAGTTAGTTAGACACCTCAGAGACAGGTTAGTTAGACACCTCAGAGACAGGTTAGTTAGACACCTCAGAGACAGGTTAGTTAGACACCTCAGAGACAGGTTAGTTAGACACCTCAGAGACAGGTTAGTTAGACACCTCAGAGACAGGTTAGTTAGACACACTTCATTAGCATTAGCTGTAGCAGCCTCTGCAGTCTCTGACTTTCATTCTGATTTGTGGAGTGGTTATAGAACCCTAGCAGTATTCCTTATGTTAATTGACTCGTCATTGTTTAAGGTGGCTAGTCATTCCTTCAGTTCCTGCGTTTTAACACTAACAGTATTACCGTACCACAACCCTCCAGAGACAGGCAGTAGAAAGCATGTGGTTTGGAGGATGGATGACACGTTTCGGATAATCACAGTGAGTCTTTTTAAATATAAACAACGTTTATAGTCAGTACACCTGTGTTTTCAGAATGCAACATTTATTCTGCGTGAAAAACACAGAATTCTGCATTAACGCAACCTCTGGATTGGACAACAGCAGAGTCTAATATCGTAGACCGACAGGTGGGTCTAGATAAAGAGGGGTTAAGTTGACTGACCTCGACCAGGGAGAACTTCTCCTCGCTGGTGTAATTGTATCGTGTAGCTCGTTCATACTCCTCCGCGTTGTCAGGACACTCCTTGTTAGAGTACTTATCAGTTGGATGAACCAGCTTCCACGAGTACTGCAGGAAGAACAGTCACCATCACCACCATGTTTTAAAAACAGTTTTTATAACATTAGGAGTTATTCAAACATCTTAAACTCACTACAAGGACACTCAATTATATAATAGCTTTAGCGACATCAATCTGAATGAACCCTGTTCAATGATTCTGTCCTATTGCGCCATGTTGTTTTATTGCCAACCCTAACCCTAGATGGGGTCAGGGGTTTGGGGTCAGGGGTCAGGGGTCAGGGGTCAGGGGTTTGGTGGGTTGTCAGGGGTCAGGGGTTTGGGGTCAGGGGTTTGCGGCGGTCAGGGGTTAGGGGTCAGGGGTTTGGGGTCAGTTGGGTTCGTGCGGGTTTCGGGGGTCAGGGGGGTTCGGGGGTGGGGTCAGGGGTTTCAGCAGGGTCAGGTGTAAAGGCTCCTCACCACTTCCATGACGTGTGCGCTCCACTGGGACAGCAGCTGCATCCCCTGCAGAGCCAGGTCAAACAGCTTCCTGTACTCCTGGTCTGTCTTGTGGGCCTCCTGGCGACCAGACCCTGTCACCACCTAGAGAGTGACACCTTTTATTAGGACATAACAGGTTAACTAACCCTAACCAGACCCTGTCACCACCTAGAGAGAGACAACCTTTAATTAGGACATAACAGTTAACTACCCTAACCAGACCCTGTCACCACCTGAGAGAGACACCTTAATTAGGACATCAACAGGTTAACTAACCCTAACCAGACCTGTCCCACCCTAGAGCGAACACCTTAATTAGGACATAACAGGTTAACTAACCCTAACCAGACCCTGTCACCACCTAGAGAGAGACACCTAATTAGGACATACAGTTAACTAACCCTAACCAGACCCTGTCACCACCTAGAAGAGACACCTCATTAGGACATAACAGGTTAACTTACCTAACCAGACCCTGTCACCACCTAGAGAGAGACACCTTAATTAGAACATACAGGTTAACTACCCTAACCAGACCCTGTCACCACTAGAGAAGACACCTTAATTAGACATAAACAGGTTAACTAACCCTAACCAGACCCTGTCACCACCTAGAGAGACACCTTATTAGGACATAACAGGTTAACTTAACCCTAACCAAACCTGTCACCCACCTAGAAGAGAGACACCTTAATTAGGACATAACAGGGTTAACTAACCCTAACCAGACCCTGTCCACCACCTAGAGAGAGACACCTTAATTAGGACATAACAGGTTAACTAACCCTAACCAGACCCTGTCACCACCTAGAGAGAGACACCTTAATTAGGACATAACAGGTTAACTTAACCCTAACCAGACCCTGTCACCACCTAGAGAGAGACACCTTAATTAGGACATAACAGGTTAACTAACCCTAACCAGACCCTGTCACCACCTAGAGAGAGACACCTTAATTAGGACATAACAGGTTAACTAACCTAACCAGACCCTGTCACCACCTAGAGAGAGACACCTTAATTAGGACATAACAGGTTTAACTAACCTAACCATAACAACCCTGTCACCACCTAGAGAGAGACACCTTAATTAGGACATAACAGGTTAACTAACCATAACCAGACCCTGTCACCACCTAGATAGAGACACCTTCATTAGGACATAACAGGTAACTAACTAACCCATAACCAGACCCTGTCCCACCTAGAGAGAGACACCTTAATTAGGACATAACAGGTTAACTTAACCCTAACCATAACCCCTGTCACCACCTAGAGAGAGACACCTTCATTAGGACATAACAGGTTAACTTAACCCTAACCAGACCCTGTCACCACCTAGAGAGCGACACCTTAATTAGGACATAAGTCAACTGACTCGAATGAATGACATTTTATTTTCGTGTCAAATCGCGAATTGGCAACCCATCCCTTATGGGATTAATTGGACACAAACAAACATTACAATAATTCACTGTGGTAATTAAATGATCATTCTTCTTCCAGTGTTCTCTGCATTACACATCGCATAAAGAGTGACAACATGTAAGGTAAAAATCAATACATAACAGTAAATAAGGTTATCCAAACAATAATTATATCTGTCTTGGCATTCTCTCTACCAGTTTCATGAGGTAGTCACCTGGAATGCATTTCAATTAACAGGTGAGCCTTCTTAAAAAGTGAATTTGTGGATATACAGAAGATGGCCCTATTTGGTAAAATACCAAGTCCATATTATGGCAAGAACAGCTCAAATAAGCAAAGAGAAACGACAGTCCATCATTACTTTAAGACATGAAGGTCAGTCAATACGGAACATTTCAAGAACTTTGAACGTTTCTTCAAGTGTAGTCGCAAAAACCATCAAGCGCTATGATGAAACTGTCTCTCATGAGGACCGCCACAGGAAAGGAAGACCCAGAGTTACCTCTGCTGCAGAGGATAAGTTCATTAGAGTTACCAGCCTCAGAAATTGAAGCCGAAATAAATGCTTCACAGAGTTCAAGTAACAGACACATCTCAACATCAACTGTTCAGAGGACATTGTGTGAATCAGGCCTTCATGGTCGAATTGCTGCAAAGAAACCACTACTAAAGGACACTAATAAGAAGAAGAGACCTGCTTGGGCCAAGAAACACAAGCAATGGACATTAGACTGGTGGAAATGTGTCCTTTGGTCTGGAGTCCAAATTGGAGATTTTTGGTTCCAACCATGTGTCTTGTGAGACGCAGTGTGGGTGAACGGATGATCTCCGCATGTGTATTTCCCACCGTGAAGCTTGGAGGAGGAGGTGTTATGGTGTGGGGGTGCTTTGCTGGTGACACTGTCTGTGATTTATTTAGAATTGAAGGCACACTTAACCAGCATGGCTACCACAGCATTCTGCAGCGATACGCCATCCCATCTGATTTGGGCTTAGTGGGATTATCACTTGTTTTTCAACAGGACAATGACCCAACACACCTCCAGGCTGTGTAAGGGCTATTTGACCAAGAAGGAAAGTGATGGAGTGCTGCATCATGATGACCTGGCCTCCACAATCCCCCGACCTCAACCCAATTGAGATGGTTTGGGATGAGTCGGACGGCAGAGTGAAGGAAAAGCAGCCAACAAGTGCTCAGCATATGTGGAAACTCCTTCAAGACTGTTGGAAAAGCATTCCAGGTGAAGCTGGTTGAGAGAATGCCAAGAGTGTGCAAAGCTGTCATCAAGGCAAAGGGTGGCTATTTGAAGAATCTCAAATATAAAATATATTCTGATTTGTTTAAACACTCTTTTGGTTACTACATGATTCCATATGTGTTATTTCATAGTTTTGATGTCTTCACTATTATTCTATCAATGTAGAAAACAGTAAAAATAAAGAAAAACCCTTGAATGAGTAGGTGTGTCCAAACTATTGACTGGTACTGTACATACATACATACTGTATATATATATACACACACACACAACACACACACACACACACAAAACACACACACAGATAAATAAATAAATACAGGAAGAAAAAAAAAAGAGAGAGAACCCAGTCTGAACCAAAGAGAAGATTCATATGGGAGACAAATGAATTAAAGATGTCCTCTATTTTTTTTACATGTGCTGTTGAAAAGTGATAGCCCAAGTATATATATACAGTAAAGTAAAGTACACACACTAAAGGATTTTTAAAAATATAGGTTTTGAGCAAAATACTTTTTTTTAGGTATTCTTTCTTAAAACTGCATTGTTGGTTAAGGGCTTGTAAGCGTTTCACTGTAAGGTCTACACCTGTGGTATCCGGCCATGTGACAAATAAAATGTGATTTGATTTGATATGAGACAGAGACATGAGTAAACGTGTTTGGTGTAGACTAGGTCTGCACCACAAATGGCACCCTAATCCCTACATAGTGCCCTACGGGCCCTGGTCAAATGTAGTGCACTATATAGGGAAAAGGGTGTCATTTGGGAAGCATTCTAGGGATTGGTCCACTCACCTCACTGTTGCTGTAGCGAGCCAGCTCAGAGATGAACCTCATGTGGTCTTCCCTGATCTGAACCATCTGCTCACAGATATTATACTGAGGACTGCTGCCTGATGATGTAACAGAACCACCTGGGAAGCGGGTAGGAGGAGGGAGGGAGGATGAGAGAGGAGAAGGGTGGGATTGGAAAGCAGGAAGGAGAGGAGGGGGCATATAGGGAGGAGAGACGAGAATTAGAGTAGAGGGAGGTCGATCGTATCTTAGAAGATGCGGAGAGATTAATGAGAGAGAGGGAGGGAGAGAGATGAGAAGAGGGAGGGAGGAGGGGGAGGGATAAGATGAGAGAGGCCTCCTTTGTTTGCGTTGCTCTCTGCGCGCTGCTTGTTTCCCCCTCTTTCTCTCTCTGCTCGCTCTCGCTCTTTGCTTTCGCGCGCTCTCTCTGCTTTGTATCTTCTCGCGCTACTGCGCCGTTTTGTGTTGCTTGGTCTCTCGTTGACTGCTCGCTCGTTTTCTCGCTTTTTCTGGTTGATCGTGGAGAGCGCGGCGGGCGCTTTCTCGTCGCTGGGGCGCGTCGCGTGCTCTCTCGGCGTGAGCGCGCTGCCGCTCGCGCTGCGCGCGTGGTCCGCGTGTGGCGGGTCCGCGCGCGGCGGGGAGAGCGCGACAGCGTGGGAGGTAAGATCGCGCGTAGAGACCAAGTCTCCGCGACACGCAGCAGCGACCAGACGCAGTAGACCAGAAAGAAGCACAGATACAGAGACATAGACAGGACATAGACTATGACAGAGAGACATAGGACGCAATAGACGATAGACAAGATACGAGAGAGACAGAGGGAGAGATAGAGAGAAGAGAGGAGAAGAGCTAGAGACAGATAGAGAACAGATAGATAGACAGAGAGAGAACCAGAGATATATGACATAGAGAGACAGAGAGAGAGAGAGTGAAGAGAGAGAGAACAGAGGAGATAGAGAACAGAGAAGCAAGATATACAGATAGATCGAGAGAGAGAGATGAGGAGAGAGAGAGAGAGAGCAGACAGATAGAGATAGGAGATGATATCTAAATCGATATATAGATTAGATAGAGTAAGAGATAGAGAAGATAGAGAGAGAGATAGATGAGAGAGAGAGAGAGATAGAGAGTAGAGAGAGAGATATACAGAGAGAGAGATATATAGATACAGATAGAGAGGAGAGAGAGAGAGGATGAGAGAGAGACAGAGAGAGAGTACAAGAGAGAGAGAAGAGATAGCCATGCCCTCCCGGTTCTTGTTCTCTTCAAAGTGTGCGCTGGTCTTGATGTATCTGGACAGCTCAATCTGCATGTCACCAAACAGAGGCACCACCTGCAGCTGCTGTGGAGGACGGATACATGAAGACCAGTCAGTCAGAGTCATAGAATCCCAGCCTGTACCAGTAGAAAAAACCTCTATAGCAGACCTTTTTAAAATAATGTGATTTTCCAATCAACGTTGATTGAGGGTGAAAGGTCAGCGACCCAAATTCACTCTAAAAAAACCAAAGTCCTTGGGCTACGCAGACACAGTTTATATACTCTCTGCATACTGATAACACCCACAACAACAGTCAATGCCTCTCGCGCTGCTCACCTTGAAGAACTTGTCAATCTTTGTCAGGTTGATCCTCTTCTTGGCGTCCATTTTGTAGATGTTGCTGTTATTGCCATCCATCAGGTACAGACCAAACCCCATCACCTAGAGGTAACAGACACAGGTACAGACCAAACCCCATCACCTAGAGGTAACAGACACAGATACAGACCAAACCCCATCACCTAGAGGTAACAGACACAGGTACAGACCAAACCCCATCACCTAGAGGTAACAGACAGTACAGACCAAACCCCATCACCTAGAGGTAACAGACACAGTACAGACCAAACCCCATCACCTAGAGGTAACAGACACAGGTACAGACCAAACCCCATCACCTAGAGGTACAACACGTGTTACAGACCAAACCCCATCACCTAGAGGTAACAGACACAGGTACAGACCAAACCCCATCATCACCTAGAGGGTAACAGACACAGGTAGCACCAAACCCATCACCTAGAGGTTAAACAGAACACCGTACAGACCAAACCCTCACTAGAGAACCACAGGTACAGACCAAACCACCAGCACCTAGATGTAATAACAGACCGGTACAGACCCAAACCCCATACCTAGAGGTACATACAGTACAGACCAAACCCCATCCCTAGGGGTAACATACCGAGTACAGACAAACCCCATCCCTATAGTGTAACCAGACCAGTACAGACCAAACCCCATCACCTAGAGGTAACAGACAGGTACAGACCAAACCCCACCACCTAGGGGTAACAGACAGGTACAGACCAAACCCCATCACCTAGGGGTAACAGACAGGTACAGACCAAACCCCATCACCTAAGGGTAACAGACAGGTACAGACCAAACCCCATCACCTAGGGGTAGGTACATCATGGCAGCATCAGAGATACAGTTCAACATGTTCTCCAGAGCTGCTTACCAAAAGGCAACCTATTTCCCTATGGGCCCTGTAGCCAGCCAGTAGTGTACTAGATAGGGAACATGGCGCGGCCTGTCGCCATCCAGTAGTGTACTAGATAGGGAACAGGGTGCGGCCTGTAGCCAGCCAGTAGTGTACTAGATAGGGAACAGGGTGCGGCCTGTAGCCAGCAGTAGTGTACTAGATAGGGAACAGGGTGCGGCCTGTAGCCAGCCAGTAGTGTACTAGATAGGGAACAGGGTGCGGCCTGTAGCCAGCCAGTAGTGTACTAGATAGGGAACAGGGTGCGGCCTGTAGCCAGCCAGTAGTGTACTAGATAGGGAACAGGGTGCGGCCTGTAGCCAGCCAGTAGTGTACTAGATAGGGAACAGGGTGCGGCCTGTAGCCAGCCAGTAGTGTACTAGATAGGGAACAGGGTGCGGCCTGTAGCCAGCCAGTAGTGTACTAGATAGGGAACAGGGTGCGGCCTGTACCAGCCAGTAGTGTACTAGATAGGGAACAGGGTGCGGCCTGTAGCCAGCCAGTAGTGTACTAGATAGGGAACAGGGTGCGGCCTGTACGCCAGCCAGTAGTGTACTAGATAGGGAACAGGGTGCGGCCTGTAGCCAGCCAGTAGTGTACTAGATAGGGAACAGGGTGCGGCCTGTAGCCAGCCAGTAGGTACTAGATAGGGAACAGGGTGCGGCCTGTAGCCAGCCAGTAGTGTACTAGATAGGGAACAGGGTGCGGCCTGTAGCCAGCCAGTAGTGTACTAGATAGGGAACAGGGTGCGGCCTGTAGCCAGCCAGTAGCCTACCTTGAGCAGCATGTGTTTCTCGTTGGGGGTCAGGTACATCCTGTTGTCATAGTAATCAACACACAGGTTGACTATGTCAGCCAGCAGCTCATCGTGGCCGTTAATCACCTCCAACTGCTGCTGCAGAGACTGGAGACAGAGAGAGAGATGTTAAACTGACGTCACTAGTGTGGCTTCAGAGGGGAAAGCAGCAGTTGGATTTCAGCTCACCTGCTGGGTGGCGATTCAACATGTAGAATCGCTTGGACATTAACAGAGAATGACGGCCAATATTATGTTTGTCGGCACCGTGTGTTTCCTCAAAGCTGTGTGTTTTACCTGAGTGATCTTGTTGTGGTTGGCCAGGTTTTGTTGAGTGTTAATGTTGTGGTGTGTTGTGTGTGTGTGTGTTGTGTGGGTGTGTGGTTACCTGTGTGATCTTGTTGTGGTTGGCCAGGTGTGTGTGTGTGTTCTTACCTGTGTGATCTTGTTGTGGTTGGTCAGGTGTGTGTGTGTGTGTGTGTGTTACCTGTGTGATCTTGTTGTGGTTGGCCAGGTGTGTGTGTGTGTCTTACCTGTGTGATCTTGTTGTGGTTGGTCAGGTGTGTGTGTGTGTGTGTGTGTTACCTGTGTGATCTTGTTGTGGTTGGCCAGGTGTGTGTGTGTGTGTCTTACCTGTGTGATCTTGTTGTGGTTGGTCAGGTGTGTGTGTGTGTGTGTGTGTTTCTGTTACCTGTGTGATCTTGTTGTGGTTGGCCAGAAACATGGAAAGGTTCTGAGACTCCTGGATGGATGAGGGTTCTGACATCTTCCTGAGGAACTGGGCAGCTCTACGAGGGAGAGGGAAGAGGGGGAGGGGGGGGGGAGGAGAAGAGGGAGGGGGGGAGGAGAGGAGGGAGGGAGGGAGGAGGGGGGGGGGAGAAGAGGGGGAGAGAGAGCGAGAGAGAGGAGGGGTGAGAGAGCGAGAGGAGTAGGAGAGAGGAGAGGGAGGAGGGTTCTGTGTTTAATGGCTTATTTTTGGTTAGGAGGATATCTTTGTTGGTTTAGTATGAGGGAGGGAAGGGATTGGGTAGGGAGGGGAAACAGTTATATTGTGAGTGATCAGCACAAAGGGAGGCTTGTTAAATCAATATCATCAAACACAGACTGACTATAGAAAGTAATTGCCATCACCACAGGAACTCAGTGCATTCCCTATTTAACATGCTGTTACACTGCCACTTTGCAGACAATGGTTTCCTCCCATTATAACTGCGGAGATAGCAGGGAAGGTCGCTGAGTGATCCTGACTGATGCTACCATCTAGTGTCTATAATAGCAGGGAGGGGTCGCTGAGTGATCCTGACTGATGCTACCATCTAGTGTCTATAATAGCCCGAAAATGGGCAGGGGAGGGGACGCTGAGTGATCCTGACTGATGCTACCATCTAGTGTCTATAATAGCAGGGAGGTCGCTGAGTGATCCGACTGATTGCTACCATCTAGTGTCTATAATAGCAGGGAGGGGTCGCTGAGTGATCCTGACTGATGCACCCTCTAGTGTCTAAAAAACAGGGGAAGGTTTGCTGAGTGATCCGGGCTTAGCTAAAATCTTTGTCTATAAAAGCAGGGAGGGACCCCTAGTGATCCTGACTTATTCTACCCAAAAAATTTGTGTCTATAATAGCATTGGGGGGGGTGGGTGAGAATCCGACTGAGCTTTCCACTAGTGTCCTTAAAAAGCAATAAGTGAGCTGAGGGATCCTGACTTATTCAAACCCTCTATGTCTTAATAGCAGGGGGGGACGCTGGATTTTTTTCCCGACGATGCTACCATCTAGTGTCTATAAAACAGGGAGGGGGCGCTGAGGGGAATTTCCCGAAATGATTTTACCCCCTATGTCTTAAAAATACAGGATTGGGGCGCTGGTGAATTTTCCCACTGAGGTATTTTCCATCTGTGTCTATAATAGGGAGGGAGGGGTTCCCCATTTATCCCAAATGATGCTACCACCAGTGTCTATAATAGCAGGGAGGGGTCGCTGATTTATCCTACCTGATCTACCATCAGTGCTATAATAGCAGGGGGGAAAGCTGAGGGTCCTGCTGATGCCCCATCTAGTGTCTATAAAACCCGGGGGGGAAAGCTAATGATTTCCGGGGATTCTAAACCTCTAGTGTTCCCCATAATTAGCAGGGGGTTCGCTGATTTCCTGACGGAAAACTACCCCCTCTAGTTTTCTATAATAACATGGAGGGTTTCCGGGTTTTCCTGAAATGATGCCTTTCCTCCTAGTGTTATAATAGCAAGGGGGGGGACCTGAGTTATCCTGACTGATGCTACCATCTAGTGCCATATTTCAGGGGGGGGACCCCCGAGTGATCCTGGGCCTTTATAACCATCTTTTTCTTATAAGGGAGGGGGCGGGGTGAGTTTATCCTGACTGGGTGATACCATCTAGTGTCTATAAAAAGCCGGGGGGGGGGCCCCTGAAATTTATCCGACTGATGCTAACCATCTAGGTTTTTAGGAACAGGGAGGGGACCCGGAGATCCTGACTGATGCTACCCCCCAGGTTATAAAAAAGCAGGGAGGGGGCGCTGGTGATCCTGACTGATGTTCCATCTATTGGGCCCATAATAGCAGGAGGGGTCGCTGAGGGGCCGGGCTGTGCTACCATCTAGGGTCTATAAAAAAGCAGGGGGGGAGTCCTGAATGATCCTGACTGATCTACCCCTCTATGTCTTAAAAGCAGGGAAGGGGGTCGTGAGTGATCCACTGAGGGAAACCCCTTTAGTGTTTTAAATGCAGGGGGGGGACGCTGATTTATCCTGACTATTCTACCATCTTGGGCTATAAAAAGCAGGGAGGGAACCCCTTGAGTGTCCTGATGAAACTAACCATCTGTGTCCCAAAAGCAGGGGGGGGACGCTGGGGTGACCTGATGATCTACCATCTAGTGGCCCATAATACAGGGGGGGGACGCTGGGGTGTTTCCCGACTGATGCTACCCTCTAGTTTCTTAAAAAATTGGGGGGTCCTGATGATCCGACTGATGCTCCACTAGTGTCTATAAAACAGGGAGGGGACGCGATTTATCCTGACGATGCTACCCCCTAGTTTCTATAAAAGCAGGGAGGGGACCTGATTTATCCTTACGATTCCCAAACCTCTAAAATGTCTTAATAGCCCGGGGGGGGGTCAGGGGTTGAACCATCTAGTGTCTATAATAACAAGGGGGGGGACCTGATTTATCCTGCTGATTTCACCATCTAGTGTCTATAAAAAAAGGGAAAAGGGGGCCCCTGAGTGATCCTGACTGAAAGCTAAACCCTCTAATTTTTTAAAAAATTGGGGAGGGGGGGGGACCCCCTGATTTTTCCTGACTGATGCTACCATCTTTGTCTATAAAAGCAGGGAGGGGCGCTGAGTATCCTGACTAACTTTCCACTTTGTGTCCCCATAATAGCAGGGAGGGGGCCTGGGTTTAAACCTGACTGGGGCTACCATCTAGTGTCTTAAAATCCGGGGGGGGACCTGATTTAAACCTTACTGATGCTACCACCCATGTCTATATAAGGCCCGGGGGGGCCTATTTATCCTGACTGTGCTACCCTCTAGTGGGCTATAATGCCCGGGGGGGGACGCGGAAGGTTTAAACCTGAAAGATTCCCAAACCCTCTTTTTGTCTTAAAAGAGGGAGGGGACCTGATTTATCCTACTGATGCTCCATCTAGTGTCTATAATAGCGGGGGGGGACGCTGAGTGATCCTGAAAGATTTCTACCCCTCTAGGGTTTTATAATAGGCCCCCGGGGGGGACGCTGAGTGATCCTGACGGGGGCTACCATCTAGTGGGGGATAATGCAGGGAGGGGGCCTGAGTGATCCGGGCTGATGCTACCTCTAGTGTCTATAAATAGCAGGGAGGGAACCCCTGGATCCTGACTGTGCACCAAACTAGGTCTATAATAGCCGGGGGGTAAAGGAGTGAGACCCCCCCCAGTGTCTATAATCAGGGAGGGGACGCTTTTGGGGATCCTGAAATGATGCACCCTCTATTTCTATAAAAAAAGGGGGGGGGGGGTCGCTGAGTGTCCCGAAATGATTCTACCCCTATGTCCCAAATAGCAGGGAGGGGTTTCCGAGTGATCCATGTTTTTACCCCTAGTGTCCCATAATGCAAGGGGGGGGTCGCTGAGTTATCCTTAATGATGCCCACCACTAGTGTCTATAAAAAAGAGGAGGGGTCGCTGGTTGGGTCCTCCCGATTTTAAACCCCTTTTTGTCCCTTTAAAAAGCGGGGGGGGACGCTTATTTATCCTGACTGGGGTGCTACCATCTATTTTCTATTACAGGGAGGGGAAGCTGGGGTGACCTGACTGAGCTACCCAAACAGTTCTTAAAAATCAGGGGGGGGTTTGCTAAGATTTTCCCACTGATGGGTACCATCTGTGTTATAAAAACAGGGGGGGTCCTGAGTGATCCCGACTTATGCACCACTAGTGTCATAATACAGGGGGGGTTTGCTGAAATGTCCTGAAAAAATGTGCTACCCTCTGTGTCCATAATTTCAGGGAGGGAAAGCTGAGGGGATCCCGAATTTATGCACCAAACTAGTGTCCCATAATACAAAGGGGGGGGGTTTGAGGATGAGACCTCTAGTGTCATAATACAGGGGGGAAAGCGGGGGTTTCCCGACTGATGGGTACCCCTAGTTCTATAATACAGGGGGGTCCTGAGTGTCCTGCTTATGCACCATCTAGTTTCCCATTAGCAGGGGGGGGTCCCTGAGTGATCCTACGATTCTACCATCTATTTTCCCATAAAGCAGGGGGGGGTCCTGAATTTTATCCTGACTGAAAAGCTACCATCATTTTCTTAAAAAAGCAGGGAGGGTCCCCTGAGTGATCCTGATGATTTCACCCTCTATTGCTTTTAATAGCAGGGAGGGGACGGTGATGATCCGCTGGTGCTACCATCTAGTGTCTATAAAAAGCCCGGGGGGGACGCTGAGTGATCCTTACTGTGCTAAACCCTCTAGGGTCTATATACGGGGGGGGACTCTGATATCCTGACTGATGCTACCCCCTCTAGTGTCCCATAATAGCGGGGGGGACGCTGATTTCCCGTCCCATATAACCCGGGAGGGGGCGCTGAGTGATCCTGACCCGATTTCTACCATCCCCAGTGTCTAAATAGCAGGGGGGGACGCTGAGTGATCCCGACTTCTACCCTCTAGTTCCCATAATTAAAACAGGGGGGGGACGTGAATATCCTGACGAGCTACCAAACTAGTTTCTATAAAGCAGGGAGGGGACGCTGATTATCCGGGCTGATGCACCATTTTAGTGTCTTATGCAGGGGGGGCACGCTGATGAAACCTGACTGTGGGACCATCGGGGCTATAATAGCAAGGGGGGGTCGAGGAAATGGGGACCATCTAGTGGGTTTTAAAACCCGGGAGGGGGCGGGTGATTTATCCGGGCTGAAAGGGTTTCCATCTATTTTCTATAATACAGGGGGGGGTCGTGAGTGATCCCCGACGATGCTACCACTAGTTTCTATAAAGGGGAGGGAAGGGGGCGCTGAGGGGAAACCTGAAATGTGCTAAACCCCTGTGGCCCAAATACAAAGGGGGGGTCCCCTGATGATTCCCCGACTATGCTACCCTCTAGTGTCTATAATAGGGGAAGGGGGGGTCCCCTGAGTGATCCTGACTGAAAGCTACCATCTATTTTCTTAAAAAGCAGGAGGGGGCCCTGATGCCTGACTGGGTGCTAAACCCTCTAGGGGGTCTATAATGCAGGAAGGGGGGCTGAGTGAAACCTGAAATGATGCTACCCCTCAAATGGTTTTATAATAGCCGGGAAGGGGGCGCTGAGTGATCCTGGCCCCGAAAGCTACCAACTATTCTATAAAGCAAAGGGGGGGGCGCTAGAATCCTGAACCGGAAACTACCATCATTTCCCATAAAAGCAGGGGGGGTCGCTGAGTGATCCGACTTTATCTACCATCCTGGTCCCCTTAAAAGCAGGGAGGGGTTTTGCTGAGTGATCCTGACTGATGCTAAAATCTAGTGTCTATAATACAGGGAGGGGGCCCCCGATGGGGCCTGACTGGAAAAGTACCATCTAGTGTCCCTTTAAAAGCAGGGGGGGACCTTTAGTGATCTGACTTTTTCTACCATCTAGTGTCTAAAATAGCAGGGAGGGGGAAAGCTTTTATCCTGACTGAAAGCTACCATCCCAGTGTCATAATAGGCAGGGGGGACGCGGGGTTTATCCTGCTGAGCTACTATCTATTTATATAATAGCAGGGAGGGGGCGCTGGTATCCCCGACGATCACCATATAGTTTATAAAAGCAGGGAGGGGTTTGCTGAGGCGGGTCCGACTGATGCTACCATCTAGTGTCATAAAAAGCAGGGGGACGCTGAGGGATCCTGACTGATGTACCCTCTATTTTCCATAATGCAGGGGAGGGGTCGCTCTGATCCTGACGAAAGCTAAAACCCTATAGTGGGCTATAATGCAGGAAGGGGGCCACTGAGTGATCCTGACTGAAAGCCCACCAAACTAGTGTCTATAATAGCAGGGGGGGGGACGCTGATTTAACCTTATGAAAAAGCTAAAACCATCTATTTCATAAAGCAGGGGGGGGGCCCCGGGGTTTACCTGTCTATAATAGCAGGGGGGGGAAACCCGAGTGTCCTGACTGATGGGTACCATCTATTTTCTATAATAGCAGGGGAGGGGAACCCCGAATTATCCTGGGCTGATTCACCATCTAGTGTAAAAAATGCCCGGGAGGGGGGCCCGAGTATCCTGATGATGCTAACCCCTATGTTTTCTATAAAAGCAGGGGGGGTCCCCTGAGGGGAGCCTGGGCTGTTCTACCATCGAGTGTCTATAATACAGGGGGGGGACGCTGAGTGACCGGGCTTATGCTAAACCCTCTATTCAAATAGCCGGGGGGGGTCGGAGTGATCCTGACGGGAAACTACCATATAGTTTTTCTAAAATAAACAGGGGGGTCGCTTAGTGATCCTTTCTGATGCTACCATCTTGTCTAAAAATACCCGGAGGGGACCCCCTGATTTTCCTGCTTTCTCCCCCTCTATGTCTATAAAAAGCAGGGGGGGGTCGCTGAGTGGATCCTGACTGATGGGTCCCCTCTGTGGGCTTTAAAAACCCGGGAGGGGGGGCCGAGGTTTTTGACTGATTCTACCAAAACTAGTGTCATAAAACAGGAGGGGTCGCTGAGTGATCCTGACTGATCCCAAACTATGTCCAAAAATAGCGGGGGGGGACCTGATTTATCCTTACGAAAGCTAAAACCCTCAGTGTCCCAAAAATGCCCGGGGGGGGACGCTGATGGGTCCTGACTGATCCCACCCTCCAGTGTCTATAAAGCAGGGAGGGGACCTGATTTAAACCCCGCCGGGTGCTAAACCCTCTAGTGTCCCCTAATAGGGGAGGGGGCGCGAGTGATCCTGACTGTCTACCATCTGTGTCTATAATAGCAGGGTTAAGGGGGCCCTGAGTGATCCTGACGATGCACCATCTAATGTCTATAAAGCAGGGGGGGGACCCTGATTTATCCTGAAATTTCTCCAAACTAGTGGGCTATAATGGGAGGAAAGGGGCCCCTGAGTATCCGGGCTGATGCTACCATCTAGTGTCTATAATGCCCGGGGGGGGACGCTGAGTGATCCCAAATGGGTGCTACCCTCTAGTGGGCCCATAATAGCAGGGGGGGGTCGCGATTTTATCCCCGATGATGCTAAAACCCTCTAGTTCTATAATAGCCGGGAGGGGCGCTGAGGTGATCCTTACTGATGGGTACCATCAGTTCTTAATAGGGAGGGAGGGGGCCCTGAGTGATCCTGACTGAGTTTTAACCCCCTATTTTCCTATAATGCAGGGGGGGTGCTGGAAATGGGTCCTGACTGATCTACCCTCTATTTTTAAAAAGCAGGGAGGGGGGGCGCTGAGGATCCCCTGAAACTTCCAAACTAGTGCTATAATAAACAAGGGGGGGGTCCCCAGAGATCCCGACTGATGCTAAACCCTCTAGTGTCCCATAATAGCAGGGGGGGGTCCCCCTAGTGCCCCCGACTGATTCCCACCATCTAGTGTCTATAAAAACAGGGGGGGGGAAAGCTGAGGGATCCTGACTGAAAAGCTACCAACCCAGTGTCTATAATCCCGGAGGGGGTCGCGAGTGATCCTGTCCCATAATACAGGGAGGGGTCCTGAGTGATCCTGACTGATGCTACCATCTAGTGTCTAAATACAGGGGGGACCTGGGGTGATCCTGACTGATGCTACCATTTTAGTGTCTTTTTAAAAGGGGGGAGGGGGCCCGGGGTGATCCTGAAATGGAAAAAAAAGCTACCATCTAGTTTCTAAATAGCAAAAGGGGGGGGAAAAGCTGATGGCCTGACTGATGCTACCATCTAGTGTCCCATAATACAGGGGGGGGGAAACCCGAGTGATCCTGACTGAAAGCCCACCATCTTTTGTCCCATAATAGACAGGGAGGGGGTCCGCTGAAGTGATCCTGACTGATTGCTACCATCTAGTGTCTATAATATAAGCAGGGAGGGTGTTCGCTGAGTGATTCCTGACTGTAATGCTACCAATCTAGTGTCTAATAATAGCCAGGGAGGGGAACGCTGAGTGATCCTGACTGATGCTACCATCTAGTGTCTATAATAGCAGGGAGGGGACGCTGAGTGATCCTGACTGATGCTACCATCTAGTGTCTATAATAGCAGGGAGGGGTCGCTGAGTGATCCTGACTGATGCTACCATCTAGTGTCTATAATAGCAGGGAGGGGTCGCTGAGTGATCCTGACTGATGCTACCATCTAGTGTCTATAATAGCAGGGAGGGGTCGCTGAGTGACCCTGACTGATGCTACCATCTAGTGTCTATAATAGCAGGGAGGGGACGCTGAGTGATCCTGACTGATGCTACCATCTAGTGTCTATAATAGCAGGGAGGGGACGCTGAGTGATCCTGACTGATGCTACCATCTAGGGCTAATTTAAAAGCAGGGGGGGTTTGCTGAGTGATCCGTCCCATAAAAGCAGGGGGGTCGAGGAGTTAAACCCTAGTGTCTATAATAGCAAGGGGGGGGGAAACCCGAGTGACCCCGTCCCTTTAAAAGCAGGAGGGGACCTGAGTGATCCCCGACGATTCTACCATCATTTTCTAAAAATTTGCGGGTCAGGGTGAGACCATCATTTTCTATAAAGCAGGAAAAGGGGGCCCCCTGATTTATCCTGTCTATAATAGCAGGGAGGGGACGCTGAGTGATCCTGACTGATGCTACCATCTAGTGTCTATAATAGCAGGGAGGGGTCGAGGAGTGAGACCATCTAGTGTCTATAATAGCAGGGAGGGGTCGAGGAGTGAGACCATCTAGTGTCTATAATAGCAGGGAGGGGTCGCTGAGTGATCCTGACTGATGCTACCATCTAGTGTCTATAATAGCAGGGAGGGGTCGCTGAGTGATCCTGTCTATAATAGCAGGGAGGGGTCGAAGAGTGAGACCATCTAGTGTCTATAATAGCAGGGAGGGGTCGCTGAGTGATCCTGTCTATAATAGCAGGGAGGGGTCGCTGAGTGATCCTGACTGAATGAAAGCCTATTCATCAAGCTGCTCTAATCAATTCACATGTTTAAATGTGTTCCAGAATATTCTGGTTCTACCATGGGGCTGTAATTTGACACTGCTAGTGATAGGATATTACTGCAGTACTCTGCCTTGTTGCCAAACAGCACCCTATTCCTTATATAGTGCACTAGTTTTGACCAGTCCACTAAGGGCCCTGGTCCAAAGTAGTGCACTATAAAGGGAATAGGGTAGTATTTGGGACGTTTCTATGTGTGTACCGTTTGTAGGCAGAGTGGTCGTTCTTGACGCTACACTTCATGTTCTTGAGTTCATCCAGCACAGCGAACATGTTGATGAACTTCCCCAAGGTCAGGAGGTAGGCCTCCGAGACAAAGTCCTTCCTCCTCTCAACGTGGCAGAGACGACGCACCTCCCCACAGAACCGGTCTATCGCCGTTCGCTGGCGAGGAGAGAGGGGGTCAACACAGATAGAAGCTTTTACAGTTACATGATACATTTCAAGACCACCACATATTTTATATCAGTTTAATATGAACTAATTATAATTAATGTGTATACAATATTATACAGAACATATTATAATATTATCTACAGAGAGAGGTGAGGGTGTCAGGTTGGTGTGACAGAGAGAGAGATGTGAGGGTGTCAGGTTGGTGTGACAGAGAGAGAGAGAGGTGAGGGTGTCAGGTTGGTGTGAGAGAGAGAGAGAGAGGTGAGGGTGTCGGGTTGGTGTGACAGAGAGAGAGAGGTGAGGGTGTCAGGTTGGTGTGAGAGAGAGAGAGGTGAGGGTGTCAGGTTGGTGTGACAGAGAGAGAGAAAGGTGAGGGTGTCAGGTTGGTGTGAGAGAGGTGAGGGTGTCAGGTTGGTGTGACAGAGAGAGAGAGAGGTGAGGGTGTCAGGTTGGTGTGAGAGAGAGAGGTGAGGGTGTCAGGTTGGTGTGAGAGAGAGCAAGGTGAGGGTGTCAGGTTGGTGTGACAGAGAGCAAGGTGAGGGTGTCAGGTTGGTGTGAGATAGAGAAAGGTGAGGGTGTCCGGTTGGTGTGAGAGAGAGAAAGGTGAGGGTGTCAGGTTGGTGAGAGAGAGCAAGGTGAGGGTGTCCGGTTGGTGTGAGAGAGAGAAAGATGAGGGTAGCTCCGGTTGGTGTGAGAGAGAGAAAGGTGAGGGTGTCCGGTTGGTGTGAGAGAAAGGTGAGGGTGTCCGGTTGGTGTGAGAGAGAGAAAGGTGAGGGTGTCCGGTTGGTGTGAAAGAGAGAAAGGTGAGGGTGTCCGGTTGGTGTGAGAGAGAGAGAGGTGAGGGTGTCCGGTTGGTGTGAGAGAGAGAAAGGTGAGGGTGTCCGGTTGGTGTGAGAGAGAGAGAGGTGAGGGTGTCCGGTTGGTGTGAGAGAGAGAGGTGAGGGTGTCCGGTTGGTGTGAGAGAGAGAGAGGTGAGGGTGTCCGGTTGGTGTGAGAGAGAGAGAGGTGAGGGTGTCCGGTTGGTGTGAGAGAGAGAAAGGTGAGGGTAGCTCCGGTTGGTGTGAGAGAGAGAAAGGTGAGGGTAGCTCCGGCTGGTGTGAGAGAGAGAAAGGTGAGGGTGTCCGGTTGGTGTGAGAGAGAGAGAGGTGAGGGTGTCCGGTTGGTGTGAGAGAGAGAGAGGTGAGGGTGTCCGGTTGGTGTGAGAGAGAGAGAGGTGAGGGTGTCCGGTTGGTGTGAGAGAGAGAAAGGTGAGGGTGTCCGGTTGGTGTGAGAGAGAGAGGTGAGGGTGTCCGGTTGGTGTGAGATAGAGAGAGGTGAGGGTGTCAGGTTGGTGTGAGAGAGAGAGAGGTGAGGGTGTCAGGTTGGTGTGAGAGAGAGAAAGGTGAGGGTGTCAGGTTGGTGTGAGAGAGAGAGGTGAGGGTGTCAGGTTGGTGTGAGAGAGAAAGGTGAGGGTGTCCGGTTGGTGTGAGAGAGAGAGGTGAGGGTGTCAGGTTGGTGTGAGAGAGAAAGGTGAGGGTAGCTCCGGTTGGTGTGAGAGAGAGAGGTGAGGGTGTCAGGTTGGTGTGAGAGAGAAAGGTGAGGGTAGCTCCGGCTGGTTGTTGTTACCTGGAAGTACATGAAGTTCATGAGCTTGGTGACCTCAGGCTCCAGCACCTCCACTGTCTTCTCATAGATCTCCACTCTGTTGGGCTGCTCATTACACTTCACCTGATAGAGGGGGGGAGAAAGGGAGATTATCAGTCATATATTTGCATGGAGGTCCAGTGCACAACAGGTTGCAACTAGAATCCCACAGTCCAGATGGGTTGTAAGGTGAGTTATATGGAGCGTGTATCCAGTGGTTACCTGTGGGATAGCGCGAGAGCAGCTCCTCCATGTGTACAGCATCACTGCATACTCCTGGCCCTCCTCCAGCATCTCATTCTAAAGGAAGACATTTAAAGGCTCTCAAACTTTATATCACAACACAGCTTCTCTCTCTCTCAATAAAGCTCCTAGCCTCTCTCTCTCTCAATAAAGCTACTAGCCTCTCTCTCTCTCAATAAAGCTACTAGCCTCTCTCTCTCTGAGGAAGTGCATCAGTTCTCTCTCTCTCACTCCCTCCCCCTCTCCCTCTCCCTCTCCCTCCCTCCCTCCTTCGAGTAGGCTTGGTCTCTGTGCCTGCCTGGTTGGCTCCATCCAAAGTGCTGTTTTATGGAGCCCCGCCGGGCGCTCTAGAACACCATTTACCCCTGACTAGCTGTAATTTTCAATTCCGTGAAGAGAGCGTGTAAGAAATGAAATGTTTTATTGTTGTCTATCAACAATGACAAGCCACCGGGGTCTGACAACGTGGATGGAAAATTACTGAGGATAATAGCAGACGATATTGCCACTCCTATTTGCCATATCTTCAATTTAAGCCTACTAGAAAGTGTGTGCCCTCAGGCCTGGAGGGAAGCAAAAGTCATTCCGCTACCTAAGAATAGTAAAGCCCCCTTTACTGGCTCAAATAGCCGACCAATCAGCCTGCTACCAACCCTTAGTACATTTTCGAAAACATTTGTGTTTGACCAGATACAATGTAGCTAAGATGGGGAGAAGTCTGTCTATAATAAAGCGCTGCTCTACCTTCTTAACAGCACTATCAATCAACAAGGCAGGTCCTACAGGCCCTAGTTTTGTCACACCTGGACTACTGTTCAGTCGTGTGGTCAGGTGCCACAAAGAGGGACTTAGGAAAATTACAATTGGCTCAGAACAGGGCAGCACGGCTGGACCTTGGATGTACACGGAGAGCTAACATTGATTTCAATCTCTCCTGGCTCAAAGTGGAGGAGAGATTGACTTCATCACTACTTGTATTTATGAGAGTTATTGACATGTTGAATGAACCGAGCTGTCTGTTTGAACTACTGGCGCACAGCTCGGTCACCCATGCATACCCCACAAGACATGCCACCAGAGGTCTCTTCACAGTCCCCAAGTCCAGAACAGACTATGGGAGGAGCACAGTACTACATAGAGCCATGTGGAACTCTATTCCACATCAGGTAACTGATGCCAGCAGTAGAATCAGATTTAAAAAACAGATAAAAATACACCTTATGGAACAGCGGGGACTGTGAAGCAACACAAACATAGACACAGACACATGCATACACACACACGATAACATACGCACTATACACACGTACACATGGATTTGGTGTTGTAGATATGTGGTAGTGGAGTAGTGGCCTGAGGGAACACACTTAGTGTGTTATGAAATCTGTTGTGAAATGTATTGTAATGTTTTTAAAATTGTATAACTGCCTTAATCAAATCACATTTTATTTGTCACATACACTTGATTAGCAGATGTTATAGCGGGTGTAGTGAAATGCTTGTGCTTCTAGCTCTGACAGTGCAGTAATATCTAACAAGTAATATCTAACAATTTCACAACATATACCCAATACACACAAATCTAGTAAGGAATGGAATTTAAGAATATATACATATATGGACAAGCAATGACAGAGCGGCATGGACTAAGATACAGTAGAATATTATAGTATAGAATGCAGTATATACATATGAGATGAGTAGTGCAAGATATGGAAACATTATTAAAGTGACTAGTGTTCCATTTCTTAAAGTGGCCAGTGATTTCAATAGGCAGCAGCAGCCTCTAATGTGCTAGTGATGGCTATTTAACAGTCTGATGGCCTTGAGATAGAAGCTGTTTTTCATTCTCTCGGTCCCAGCTTTGATGCACCTGTACTGACCTCGCCTTCTGGATGATAGCGGGGTGAACAGGCAGTGGCTCGGGTGGTTGACGTACTTGATGATCTTTTTGGCCTTCCTGTGACATCGGGTGCTGTATGTGTCTTGGAGGGCGGGTAGTTTGCCCCCGGTAATGCGTTGGGCAGACCGCACCACCCTCTTGAGAGCCCTGTGGTTACGGGCGGTGCAGTTTCCGTACCAGGCGGTGATACAGCCCGACAGGATGCTCTCAATTGTGCATCTGTAAAAGTTTGTGAGGGTTTTAGGGGCCAAGCCAAATTTCTTCAGCCTCCTGAGTTTGAAGAGGCTCTGTTGCGCCTTCTTCACCACTGTCTGCGTGGGTGGACCATTTCAGTTTGTCAGTGATGTGTACGCCAAGGAACTTGAGGCTTTCCACCTTCTCCACTGCGGTCCCGTCGATGTGGATAGGGGGGTGCACCCTCTGCTGTTTCCGGAAGTCCACGATCATCTCCTTCGTTTTGTTGACGTTGAGTGAGAGGTTATTTTCCTGGCACCACACTCCCAGAGCCCTCACCTCCTCCCTGTAGGCGGTCTCGTCATTGTTGGTAATCAAGCCTACTACTGTTGTGTCGTCTGCAAACTTGATGATTGAGTTGGAGGCGTGCTTGGCCACACAGTCATGGGTGAACAGGGAGTACAGGAGGGGGCTGAGCACGCACCCTTGTGGGGCCCCTGTGTTGAGGATCAACGAAGTGGAGATGTTGTTTCCTACCTTCACCACTTGGGGGCGGCCCATCAGGAAGTCCAGGACCCAGTTGCACAGGGCGGGGTTCAGACCCAGAGCCTCAAGCTTAATGATGAGCTTGGAGGGTACTATGGTGTTGAAGGCTGAGCTATAGTCAATGAACAGCATTCTTACATAGGTATTCCTCTTGTCCAGATGGGATAGGGCAGTGTGCAGTGTGATAGCAATTGCATCGTCTGTGGATCTATTGGGGCGGTAAGCAAATTGAAGTGGGTCTAGGGTAACAGGTAAGGTGGAGGTGATATGATCCTTGACTAGTCTCTTAAAGCACTTCATGATGGCGATAGCCATTTAGTTCAGTTACGTTTGCTTTCTTGGGTACAGGAACAATGGTGGCCATCTTGAAGCAAGTGGGGACAGCAGACTGGGATAGGGAGAGATTGAATATGTCCATAAACACACCAGCCAGCTGGTCTGCGCATGCTCTGAGGACGCGGCTAGGGATGCCGTCTGGGCCAACAGCCTTGCGGGGGTTAACACGCTTAAATGTCTTACTCAAGTCGGCCACAGAGAAGGAGAGGCCACAGTCCTTGGTAGTGGGCCACATCGGTGGCACTGTGTTATCCTCAAAAGCGGGCGAAGAAGGTGTTTAGCTTGTCTGGAAGAGAGACGGTGTCAGCGACGTGGCTGGTTTTATTTTTGTAGTCCGTGATTGTCTGTAGACCCTGCCACATATGTCTCATGTCTGAGCCGTTGAATTGCGACTCCACTTTGTCTCTATACTGATGTTTTGCCAGTTTAATTGCCTTGCGGAGTGAGTAGCTACACTGTTTGTATTCTGCCGTATTCCCAGTCACCTTGCCATGATTAAATGCTGTCGTGGTATCGGCTTGAGGGGGGATATACACGGCCGTGACTATAACCAAAGAGAATTCTCTTGGGAGATAATACAGGTATGCATCTGATTGTGAGGTATTCTAGGTTGGGTGAACAGAAGGACTTGAGTTCCTCTATGTTACTACAATTACACCATGAGTCATTAATCATGAAACACAAACCTCCGCCCTTCTGCTTCCCGGAGAGATATTTATTCCTGTCTGTGCGATGAACTGAGAACCCATCTGGCTGGACTGATTTCGACAGAATATCCCCAGAGAGCCATGTTTCCATGAAACAGAGGATGTTACAGGCCCTGATGTCTCTCCGGAAAGAAATCCTTGCCCTGAGCTTGTCGACTTTGTTATCCTAAGACTGAACATTAGTGAGTAGTATACTTGGAAGCAGTGGGTGGTGTGCGCCCCTCCTAAGTCGAACCAGCAGGCCGCTCCGAGTGCCTCTCCTCCGCCGGCGATGTTTTGGGTCAGCTGCTGGAATCAGTTCAGTTGCCCTTTGGGAGAGCAAACAAAGGATCTGCTTCGGGAAAGTTGTATTCCTGGTCGTGATGCTGGTGAGTTACCGCCGCTCTGATATCCAATAGTTTTTCCCGGCTGTATGTAATGATACAAAACACTTTCTGAGCTAAATGGTTTTTTTTTATAATAAAAAATAAATTAAAAATACCACAAAGTTTCCTAAGAGCTAGTCGCGAGGCCGCCATCTTCGTCGGCGCCAGGTTAATGTTGCCGGACCCCAGGAAGAGTAGCTGCTGCCTTGGCAGGAACTAATGGGGATCCATAATAAACCCCAGGAAGAGTAGCTGCTGCCTTGGCAGGAACTAATGGGGATCCATAATAAACCCCGGGAAGAGTAGCTGCTGTCTTGGCAGGAACTAATGGGGATCCATAATAAACCCCGGGAAGAGTAGCTGCTGCCTTGGCAGGAACTAATGGGGATCCATAATAAACCCCGGGAAGAGTAGCTGCTGCCTTGGCAGGAACTAATGGGGATCCATAATAAACCCCAGGAAGAGTAGCTGCTGCCTTGGCAGGAACTAATGGGGATCCATAATAAACCCCAGGAAGAGTAGCTGCTGCCTTGGCAGGAACTAATGGGGATCCATAATAAACCCCAGGAAGAGTAGCTGCTGCCTTGGCAGGAACTAATGGGGATCCATAATAAACCCCAGGAAGAGTAGCTGCTGTCTTGGCAGGAACTAATGGGGATCCATAATAAACCCCGGGAATAGTAGCTGCTGCCTTGGCAGGAACTAATGGGGATCCATAATAAACCCCGGGAAGAGTAGCTGCTGCCTTGGCAGGAACTAATGGGGATCCATAATAAACCCTGGGAAGAGTAGCTGCTGCCTTGGCAGGAACTAATGGGGATCCATAATAAACCCCGGGAAGAGTAGCTGCTGCCTTGGCAGGAACTAATGGGGATCCATAATAAACCCCGGGAAGAGTAGCTGCTGCCTTGGCAGGAACTAATGGGGATCCATAATAAACCCCAGGAAGAGTAGCTGCTGCCTTGGCAGGAACTAATGGGGATCCATAATAAACCCCAGGAAGAGTAGCTGCTGCCTTGG